TGGTACATCGCAGATGAACAGTACAGGCATAAGCGCCAGGGCGCAACAGGTAGCAAAAGCTGCAACGTGGTAGTTGTCATGCTCGTGTTTGCGGTTTCTCTTTTGTTTGAGAAAGCATTTTAAAATATCATACAAAGCTTTGTGCCACAACTTTAAAATACCAATTGTAAGCTGGTAGGGGACTGTAAAAGCGGCAATATGTGCCGATTTGTGCTCGTGAGTGGAGCCTCCCAAACCACTCACAGCAGCCGACGCCATGCCAAGTGTGTTGGCATTTTACGTTCTGTTTCAGCCATTTTAGTTTGTGTCTCAGTCACATTGTTAGTAATACTAACAACCTTTCTAAGTCTAGATTGATGCACCCTGACATAGGAGCCCCCATGTCTCACAAATACAACAGCCCCATCTTGACCTAGTATCACCCCTGGACCTTTCCACTCATTGAAATCAACCCTTTTATAGTAGACTTTGTCTCCTGTGACATACTTGTCATGAACTGGTCGTAGTTGTTTCCGAAGAGCTCTTCTGAGTCTCTCAGAGCATTCTGCCTCTGTAAATGCCTTTCTCATTGCATGTAGTGTTGTCATGTGTTGAGCTATCCAGGTGTTAATGCTTGTTTCAAGGGCTGGGGGTTTGTCAGTGAGCACCGAGGGAAGGTTTGGATTTTGTCCAAACACCAGTTGATAGGGGCTATACCCATGTACATTGTGTAAGTAGTAAGTAAGTAGTAAGTAATTTTTATTTATATACCGCCTTTCACAGACCAGAGTCACAAAGCGGTTTACAATTGTTATTTTTGGGCACTTGTCCTCTCATTCCACACAGAGATGGGAGCGGGGCCAGTACAGGAGGCATATGCCAGAACTATTGTACATGTTTTTAGTGGTAGGGGAAACCGGAGTACCCGGAGGAAACCTACGCAGACACGGGGAAAACATGCAAACTCCACTCAGAAAGGGCCTGGTCCGACCGGGATTCGAACCCAGGACCTTCTTGCTGAGAGGCGAGAGTGCTATCCACTCAGCCACCGTGCCGCCCACATAGTAGTTGTGAACTCCATTGTGCATGGAGTTCTTGGCCATGAGTGCCCAGTCTAACGCTGAATGCCAGTCACAATTGTTGTCTTTTTTAACTTTCAGAAGCATTTCAGTGAGCGTTTGGTTATGCCTTTCCAGAAACCCGTTGCTCCATGGGCTATACGCTGCAGTGGTTTTGATCTCAATGTTGAATTTTTCAGCCATGTCCTTGATAATCTCGTTATTGAATTCACCTCCATTGTCACTAAATAGCCGGCTTGGAGGACCATGAACACTGGTCCAACAGTGAATGAACTGCTTTACTATCTCTTTGGGGTTCTTTGTTGTTGTTGTGACAATACTCCCAGCACTGAAGCAGGTGAAGTGGTCTATGACATGTAAATACCACACGTTGTGGTCAAGCTCATGTAAGTCGACAGCCACAGTTTCATTATAAGTTGTGGCCATTGGCAAACCAACTATTGGCTTGTTTTTTGGCTTGCTGTACCTTGTACATGTTTCACAATTTTGGACAATTCTCTTGAGAATATCTATACTTTCTTTGTCCTGAGTGCCTGCGCAGGTGAGAAGCTTCTGCAACCTTTCAGCAGAGGCGTGTCCAAACTGCCTGTGTAGTTTCAAAAGGATTTTTTCCTTTTCTTTTGTGCTCATGTCCTCTTTAACAATGAGTACCTCTTCTTAATTTTGAGTTTCCTCTTTACTCTTATCTCTCAAGTTCACATAATAATGTCCAGAAGATGTCAGCTCAAGTTTAACTGGCTGTTTAAACATGGTGGCTTTGCCACATGCAATGTCTAATATTACATTGGCCCTTTTTAGTGATGCCTTGCTCAATAGCATGGGAATGTTTGCAGGAACAACTTCTGTTTCTATTTTGCATTTAGTCTGACCAATTTTTGCAGGTAGTGTAACTTTTCTTGTAGAATGAACCACTTTGCCATCGCCAAATCTAAATGGTCTTGTACTTGTTACTCCAACAATTTTTTGTAACTCACATTGTGGTAGTCCTCTTGTATAATCTTCAAGCCATTTCTCACCACACACTGTTCTTGTACAAGCTGTGTCAATCACTGCTGACCCTAAAGCCTCCACCATGAAGATGTCTGTGTCTGAAAGAGTCTCATTTGAAAACAAAGTGATATTGCACTCCTCATATTTCACTTTTTTGTCCTTCATTTTTAATTATCTTCACATGTTCCTTTTTGTTTGGACAGTTTCTTGCCCAGTGAAATGTGCTCTGACAATCAGCACATTTTTTTCTTCTGCCAAGTTTATTGAGTGGGTTTGTTCCTTGCGCCACCGCTTGACTTTGTTGATAGTTTGATTTACCGTCTCTCTTCCCAGTGTATCGTGTGTCATAGGCGCACTCGCTGTCAGCCGTTTGCGGCTCACTGCTGCCCTCTCGTGGTGATGTGACGTCTCCAAAAATTCTTTTCAATGCAGATTTCATATCAACAAATGTGACGGTGGGGCAGGCTGTAAGTGCTAACTGTTTGTCTTTTATGTTGAGACCGGCCGTATCTAGCAACTTAAATGCTAGCACAGCATCTGGGAGCTCCATTTTAAATTTATGCAGTCTGTTGTAACAGCGCTCAAACTCCACTATATAGTCCACCATAGACACGCCACTGTGTCTAGTTACACGATCAAACTCTGTGTACGCCTCATACTGGCGATCTTTTTCTTCTTTAAGAAACACAGAGTCCAATTTTGCCATAAGTGCGGCCATACCAGTGTCAGCATTCAAATCACCGGCGGGAATTTCCAGCGCACTTTCCCTCGCGCGCCCCGCTAACGACAAGGTAACAGCTAGCGCTTGTTTCTTCTGGTCCAAATCTGTGACCAACCTCCAGATTTAAATCTCATTCTTCCAAGTTTTGTGAGATTTCATAACACTTTTAAGCAACTTTTGTTAAAGTTAAACTCATCATTCTATCAATGTGCAGAAGCCAGTACTTTTCCCTTGTTTTGCCTATCTGAAGGCCAAGCTACATGGCACCGTGGAAGCTGCTGATTGGAGGTCTCCATGCCTCCGCTCTGTATAATACACTTGCATTCTGTTGTATCTGTGATCGTGTGCTTTGTTCGTGCTGTCTCTACCATCGACAATAAAACATGTCTTCTGTCTGAATAAAAGACGCGATCCCAGACTTTGTCATCTTCTTCAGGTGGTGGAAGGATGCGGGCCTTGTCTGTAACATCTAGTGAACAGAAGACTACTTTTTTTTTACACAAAAAGTGTTTTTTTTTTCAAGCCAAAACTGAAAAACCTCAAGAGAATGCATCTGAACCAGCACACTTGGACAATCTGCACAGCCCCTGATTCCACTCAGGCCTGCTGTGAGCTGCTGAGACATGGAAAACACCATCGTCCTCTTTTGCATGGACATAATTTGGAACAATTGGATTTCTGAATTTGGAAATAATTTGGACTGAATTGGATTTCTGAATCTGGACACTAAAGCTGAAACGTGTGATTGAAAGACACGTCACAGAAGAATTCATGGCTCGACACAAATGCAGCCTGAAGAAATCAACAGAGAAGTGGGAGAGACTGTTTTCAAAGCAATATCTGGAACCATCGACTGATGAAGTTTGGTATTTTACTGAAGATTGTTGACAAGTTTTATGAAAGATCCGAACATGTTTTATGAGTTTTTGAAGTACCGAGTGAAGTACCGAGTTTGAGTTTTTGAAGTATTGAGTTATGATGTTATGTTGCTGTTTATCGATCCTGATGGTCACACGTGAATGTATGACCAGAGGGGGGAATGAGAGATTTCATAACACTTTTAAGCAACTTTTGTTAAAGTTAAACTCATCATTCTATCAATGTGCAGAAGCCAGTACTTTTCCCTTGTTTTGTCTATCTGAAGGCCAAGCTACATGGCACCGTGGAAGCTGCTGATTGGAGGTCTCCATGCCTCCGCTCTGTATAATACACTTGCATTCTGTTGTATCTGTGATCGTGTGCTTTGTTCGTGCTGTCTCTACCATTGACAATAAAACATGTCTTCTGTCTGAATTAAAGACGCAATCCCAGACTTTGTCATCTTCTTCAGTTTCATATGACGTTTTCTCGTCAAATGGCGGCGGGATCTTGTAGTTACCACCAGCAGCCATCCTCTGCTACCAATTGTTAGCTCAATAAACACACAGGTTTATGGAAACGATGTTTACTCCATCACGATAGCAGACAAGTGAATACAGTCTCGTGTGAGCATCAACATGAACACCCAAACATCGCGATACTATCACCGCTCCTCATTTGTGCACATAGAAACATAGCTTAACATTATCCATCCGTACACTCCGCTCAATCATCATTTCCTGCATGTAACGTCTGGGTCTGGTCCCTGTGTTTGCGATGACAATTGGTTGAATTTCGACCGACCATTCAGAGAGCGCGGGAGGCGGGTGTTGTAGTTAGTTGTGGGTGACGTCAAGAGTTTGCGTCGAACGGGAAGGTCGTAGTTTGGCAATGGCGAAAAATGCGATAGTAAAGTATTCTGTTCTGGTTCTATCAAGAAATTGAAGCCAGAGCAAGAGGAATGTTTAGCAAATGTAATCACTGGAAAAAAGTTCTGGCGCTACTCCCCACGGGCTCGGTTAGCGGCAAAGGAGATGGCTATAGCTAGGCTAAATGCAAATGACAGACTCTACACTACATACCTCACGGTAAACTCAGATCCAATGGTTTCAATCTGCAAAAGGAGTTAACCCTTCCCACCTGTTAACGGAGTCAATGGAGCAAATCCAGACCTTAGTATGAAATGTAATTTGTACTATGGTGTGGTACGACCAGGCTAGAGATTTACAAAAACTCTAACAATATAGTAAAGATTTGCAAAAAACTCTGAGAAAAAATATCAGAAAAAGGTGTAAACAAAAATACAATAAAATATATTCTTATTTAATTAATAATAATAATATATATATATTTTTTTAAATAAAGAAAAATACCTCTTTCTTGTCCTTGGCGTTGCTCTTCGCCTGTTCGCGGTTAAACGCTTTCTTGGCGTTCTTAAGCTGTGTTTTAGAAATCACTGCCCATCGCTGTGAGGAGAGCAGAGCTGAGGTCAAGTTTCAGAAATTATACATGGAATAAGAGATGACAGGAATGAGCAACACTCCCATCTAGTGGAAGAAGAGGAAAATTAGCAGATTTATGAGAAAAAAAGTTTTATAAAGGAAACCTTAAAAAACAAAAGTATTGCTTCTGAATCTTTTCAATAACAGAGAGAGAAGAGAGACCAGAGTGAGAGAGAGAGAGACCAGAGTGAGAGAGAGAGCGAGAGACCAGAGTGAGAGCAGAGAGACCAGAGTGAGAGCATAGAGACCAGAGTGAGAGCAGAGAGACCTGAGTGAGAGCAAGAGAGACCAGAGTGAGAGCAAGAGAGACCAGAGTGAGAGCAAGAGAGACCAGAGTGAGAGCAAGAGAGACCAGAGTGAGAGAAGAGAGACCAGAGTGAGAGAAGAGAGACCAGAGTGAGAGAAGAGAGACCAGAGTGAGAGAAGAGAGACCAGAGTGAGAGAAGAGAGACCAGAGTGGGAGCAGAGAGACCAGAGTGAGAGCAGAGAGACCAGAGTGAGAGAAGAGAGAGAGAGAGAGAGACCAGAGTGGGAGCAGAGAGACCAGAGTGAGAGAGACCAAAGTGAGAGGAGAGAGACCAGAGCGAGAGAGACAGAGACCAGAGTGAGAGTGAGAGAGAGAGAGACCAGAGTGAGAGCAGAGAGACCAGAGTGAGAGCAGAGAGACCAGAGTGAGAGAGAGAGAGAGAAAGACAAGAGTGAGAGAGCGAGAAAGTGAGAGAGAGAGACCAGAGCGAGCGAGAGAGACCAGAGTGAGAGGGAGAGAGACGAGCGTGAGAGCAGAGAAACCAGAGTGAGAGAGAGAGATCAGAGTGAGAGAGAGACCAGAGTGAGAGCAGAGAGAACAGAGTGAGAGAGAGAGACCAGAGTGGGAGCAGAGAGACCAGAGTGAGAGAGACCAAAGAGAGAGGAGAGAGACCAGAGCGAGAGAGACAGAGACCAGAGTGAGAGAGAGAGAGAGACCAGAGTGAGAGAAGAGAGACCAGAGTGAGAGCAGAGAGACCAGAGTGAGAGCAGAGAGACCAGAGTGAGAGAGAGAGAGAGAGAGACCAGAGTGGGAGCAGAGAGACCAGAGTGAGAGCAGAGAGACCAGAGTGAGAGAAGAGAGAGAGAGAGAGACCAGAGTGGGAGCAGAGAGACCAGAGTGAGAGAGACCAAAGTGAGAGGAGAGAGACCAGAGCGAGAGAGACAGAGACCAGAGTGAGAGAGAGAGAGAGAAACCAGAGTGAGAGCAGAGAGACCAGAGTGAGAGAGAGAGAGAGACCAAGAGTGAGAGAGCGAGAAAGTGAGAGAGAGAGACCAGAGTGAGCGAGAGAGACCAGAGTGAGAGGGAGAGAGACGAGCGTGAGAGCAGAGAAACCAGAGTGAGAGAGAGAGACCAGAGTGGGAGCAGAGAGACCAGAGTGAGAGAGACCAAAGTGAGAGGAGAGAGACCAGAGCGAGAGAGACAGAGACCAGAGTGAGAGAGAGAGAGAGAGAGACCAGAGTGAGAGCAGAGAGACCAAAGTGAGAGCAGAGAGACCAGAGTGAGAGAGACCAGAGTGAGAGAAGAGAGACCAGAGTGAGAGAAGAGAGACCAGAGTGAGAGAAGAGAGACCAGAGTGGAGAAGAGAGACCAGAGTGAGAGAAGAGAGACCAGAGTGAGAGGGAGAGAGACCAAAGTGAGAAGAGAGAGACCAGAGCGAGAGAGACAGAGACCAGAGTGAGAGAGAGAGAGAGACCAGAGTGAGAGCAGAGAGACCAGAGAGAGAGAGAGACAAGAGTGAGAGCAGAGAGACCAGAGAGAGAGAGAGAGACAAGAGTGAGAGAGCGAGAAAGTGAGAGAGAGAGACCAGAGTGAGAGAGAGAGACCAGAGTGAGAGGGAGAGACAAGAGTGAGAGAGCAGAGAAACCAGAGAGCGAGAGAGAGACCAGAGTGAGAAGAGAGAGACCAGAGTGAGAGTGAGAGAGAGTGAGAGAGACCAGTGAGAGTGAGAGAGACCAGAGTGAGAGCAGAGAGACCAGAGTGAGAGGAGAGAGACCAGAGAGACCAGAGTGAGAGGAGAGAGAGAGAGAGACCAGAGTGAGAGGAGAGAGACCAGAGTGAGAGAGACCAAAGGAGAGAGAGACCAGAGCGAGAGAGACAGAGACCAGAGTGAGAGAGAGAGAGAGAGAGAGAGACCAGAGTGAGAGCAGAGAGACCAGAGTGAGAGAGCGAGAAAGTGAGAGAGAGAGACCAGAGTGAGAGGGAGAGAGACGAGAGTGAGAGCAGAGAAACCAGAGAGAGAGAGAGAGAGACCTGAGTAAGAGCAGAGAGACCAGAGTGAGAGAGAGACAGAACAGAGTGAGAGCAGAGACCAGAGTGAGAGAAGTGAGAGAGAGAGACCAGAGTGAGGAGAGAGAGACCAGAGGGGGAGAGACCAGAGTGAGAGAGACCAAAGTGAGAGGAGAGAGACCAGAGCGAGAGAGACAGAGACCAGAGTGAGAGAGAGAGAGACCAGAGTGAGAGCAGAGAGACCAGAGTGAGAGAGCGAGAAAGTGAGAGAGAGAGACCAGAGTGAGAGAGAGAGAGACCAGAGTGAGAGCAGAGAAACCAGAGAGAGAGAGAGAGACCTGAGTGAGAGCAGAGAGACCAGAGTGAGAGAGAGCAGAACAGAGAGAGAGAGAGACCAGAGTGAGAGAGAGAGAGACCAGAGTGGGAGCAGAGAGACCAGAGTGAGAGAGAGAGACCAGAGTGAGAGGAGAGAGACCAGAGTGAGAGAGCAGAGACCAGAGAGAGAGAGAGACCAGAGTGAGAGAGAGACCAGAGTGAGAGCAGAGAGACCAGAGTGAGAGAGAGAGAGACCAGAGAAAGACAAGAGAGATGGAGAAGAGTGAGAGAGAGAGACCAGAGTGAGAGAGAGAGACCAGAGTGAGAGAGAGAGACCAGAGTGAGAGAAGAGAGACCAGAGTGAGAGGGAGAGAGACGAGAGTGAGAGCAGAGAGACCAGAGTGAGTGAGAGTGAGAGAGAGACCAGAGAGAGACCAGAGTGAGAGAGAGAGAACAGAGTGAGAGAGAGACCAGAGTGAGAGAGAGAGACCAGAGTGAGAGAAGAGAGACCAGAGTGAGAGAAGAGAGACCAGAGTGAGAGGGAGAGAGACCAAAGTGAGAAGAGAGAGACCAGAGCGAGAGAGACAGAGACCAGAGAGAGAGAGAGAGAGACCAGAGTGAGAGAGAGAGAGAGACCAGAGTGAGAGCAGAGAGACCAGAGAGAGAGAGAGAGAAGACAAGAGTGAGAGAGCGAGAGAGAGAGAGACCAGAGTGAGAGAGAGAGACCAGAGTGAGAGACCAGAGAGAGAGACCAGAGAGAGAGAGAGAGACCAGAGAGAGAGACCAGAGTGAGAGAGAGAGAGAGACCAGAGTGAGAGGGAGAGAGACCAGAGTGAGAGTGACCAGAGTGAGATTAGAGAGACCAGAGTGAGAGAGAGGAGAGACCAGAGAGACCAGAGTGAGAGGAGAGAGACCAGAGTGAGAGCAGAGAGACCAGAGTGAGAGGAGAGAGACCAGAGTGAGAGCAGAGAGACCAGAGTGAGAGGAGAGAGAGAGAGAGAGAGAGAGACCAGAGTGGGAGCAGAGAGACCAGAGTGAGAGAGACCAAAGTGAGAGGAGAGAGACCAGAGCGAGAGAGAGAGAGAGACCAGAGAGAGAGAGAGAGAGAGACCAGAGAGAGAGAGAGAGAGAGACCAGAGAGAGAGAGAGAGAGAGAGACCAGAGAGAGAGCAGAGAGACCAGAGTGAGAGCAGAGAGACCAGAGTGAGAGCGAGAAAGTGAGAGAGAGAGACCAGAGTGAGAGGGAGAGAGACCAAAGTGAAAGAGAGACCAGAGTGAGAGAGAGAGAGACAAGAGTGAGAGGGAGAGAGACGAGAGTGAGAGCAGAGAGACCAGAGAGAGAGAGAGAGAGACCAAAGTGAGAGAGAGAGACCAAAGTGAAAGAGAGACCAGAGTGAGAGAAGAGAGACCAGAGTGAGAGAAGAGAGACGAGAGTGAGAGGGAGAGAGACGAGAGTGAGAGCAGAGAAACCAGAGTGAGAGAGAGAGATCAGAGTGAGAGAGAGACCAGAGTGAGAGACCAGAGTGAGAGAAGAGAGACCAGAGTGGGAGCAGAGAGACCAGAGAGAGATCAGAGGGAGAGAGAGACCAGAGGGAGAGAGAGACCAGAGTGAGAGACCAGAGTGAGAGAGAGAGACCAGAGTGAGAGAGAGAGACCAGAGTGAGAGCAGAGAGACCAGAGAGAGAGAGAGAGAAAGACAAGAGTGAGAGAGCGAGAAAGTGAGAGAGAGAGACCAGAGTGAGAGAGAGAGACCAGAGTGAGAGGGAGAGAGACAAGAGTGAGAGCAGAGAAACCAGAGAGCGAGAGAGAGACCAGAGTGAGAGGAGAGAGACCAGAGTGAGAGGGAGAGAGACCAGAGTGAGAGTGACCAGAGTGAGAGCAGAGAGACCAGAGTGAGAGGAGAGAGACCAGAGTGAGAGCAGAGAGACCAGAGTGAGAGGAGAGAGAGAGAGAGAGAGACCAGAGTGGGAGCAGAGAGACCAGAGTGAGAGAGACCAAAGTGAGAGGAGAGAGACCAGAGCGAGAGAGACAGAGACCAGAGTGAGAGAGAGAGAGACCAGAGAGAGAGAGAGAGAGAGAGAGAGAGAGACCAGAGTGAGAGCAGAGAGACCAGAGTGAGAGCGAGAAAGTGAGAGAGAGAGACCAGAGTGAGGGAGAGAGACGAGAGTGAGAGCAGAGAAACCAGAGAGAGAGAGAGACCTGAGTAAAACCAGAGAGACCAGAGTGAGAGAGAGACAGAACAGAGTGAGAGCAGAGAGACCAGAGAGAGAGAGAGACCAAAGTGAAAGAGAGACCAGAGTGAGAGAAGAGAGACCAGAGTGAGAGAAGAGAGACGAGAGTGAGAGGAGAGAGATCAGAGTGAGAGAGAGAGACCAGAGTGAGAGACCAGAGTGAG